CAGCCAATTCGACGAATTCAATAACTCGCCGGACCGCGTGCTCGACCGTCGACCCTGCCCCCACTCCGCCAATTATCCCCACCAAGGCAGTCGCGCGTTTCAGAGGCGAGACATCATTGGCGGCGGGGAGTGGCGGCCACGCCCACTCGCGTGGCTACAGCGACGCGTCACGCTCCACAGAACCGGATCGTCCGGTGCGCGCTCCGTATTTAGCAGCGCACGAACGTGCGAACCAGCTTCGCAGACCAACCCTCCGCAAAGCGGTTACGGAGGAAAGGGAATGGTTTTTTCGAGTCGGTTTGGTTCAAGTCGATCCAACGAAATCGATCGATTTCGCTCGATCTTGCGTACGATGCAGACGGTTTTGTTTCGATTTTTTGCAGGAAAGGGCGAGGACAAGAGGATTTGTATAGTTGAGTTTTAGGGATCGAGCGACAAGGAACTATTATAAGAAATTATTCAGTTGCAGTTAAGGTAAAAGAATACGTGAAAGATATCCGATCTTATATTACGAAGCAAACGAGAATTGCAGGTACGTACGTGATTAGAATCGAGTTAAAAAAATTTAGAATTATTTGCAAAATTTCGGGTAGGAAAAATTGCAACTGCTATAAGAAAATTCGGAAAAACCGGTAATTACCTATTACGCGTTAAAATGCGTTATATTAAATTCTTCTTTCTTTCTCGATGTTTTGCTATTATAGCGTAATTATTTTGCTCATAAACTGACCTTTAATATAGCTAAATATAGCACCGTTCTAAGCTAAAAACTAGTATCGTAGATTTCTACGTTGAACGCCATGGGATATCGCTGGATCTTGCGTCAAGGTCAGCTGCGTCTTAATTTCGACTAATTACAAAATTATGTCAAGACAGAGCCTAAATTAAGTCCGTTTGCGAGCACAGGGTACGATGATAACACGTACGTACGCTTATGTGACTTTGAGCGTTGAACTGAGGCGCGCGAGTCAGCGTGCGCTCAACGATTCCTTTGTATTCGTCGCTCCAAGGACACCTATGGCGTCCGCGATCGCTCGACGACTGATCGTCGCTTGCGTCGAGTCGCCGCATCTGTCATCGCGCCGATGCTGCTTACCGAGTCCAGTCGTCGAGAATCCGCGGGGGTTCGTGTCATTCGATAGACGCGCGATGTTTTTACCGATGACGATTCATCGACACCGAACTTGACCAACGAGAACGAAACACGACACGGGGTTCACTCAATCGCTTGCAGTAAACTCGGGTAATTGCTAAACTTTACAGTATCGTAGGTATCGATCTGCGTTCCATTTAAAAAAGTCGAGGTGATTTTGAAATTTCCAGAACTCCTACGGAAAGATCGTCGTATCTGCGAAAATAACGGAGATATTCAACCGTTGACTCTTCTCGCACCCTGCCGTATATCGTTAATCGTCGTTTTCCTCGATGAGAGCTGTCGTCGATAAAGACTTCTATCGTCGATAAATCGTTGTCGACTTTTACCGACAGCTTCGGTTTCGTGCGTGAAAGATGCAATTTTCTTACGACAGACTCTCTTCTCGTTTCTCCCTGTTCGCTTAACAAATTCGATTTCAACGTGTCAAAGTACCACGTTATCCATCTTAGTCGCAAGGTTTCGTACGTTTCGTATTCTTATTCTCCCAACGACGACCTGTCAACATCGTACGATAGCATCGTACGCGATTCGACAGTCCCTTCTACAAACATGCTCTATACAGTATAGTTAATTCCGCCTTTAAATGCCGCGGCGTTCTTCGTCGTTCATCAAAGTGCTTCTCTAACACTTATACACTCGTGACTCCCTCTAATTCTCCGGCGCGTCTCATGCTCGAATATTGCCCTGTTATTTCGTTTCCGTGTTACGAATGTAATGACGTTCATACGTTGTCATACGACGTATGTCATACGTTGTCATGTCATACGTTGATCGACAGTGTGCAGCATAGATCGAATGCGATTATCTTCTGACGCCGACCCGTTGTCTATTTATAATCACAATTACAATTCGATTCTGTCGCGTCTGGGATTAACGATTATCGAGTAACGCTGCACCGTATTTACCGTTTATATATAAACTTGTCAACTCATTCTTCACACATTCGTCCACACATTCTCTACAAATTTAATTTTTCTACTCTAGTGCAACTAAGAACTCGTGCTCTCTTCGTAACCGAAACCCATCGCACACATCACGGCCTTAATACTGTAACTGTAAGTGCCAGCAATCTCTACCGCGAACTTAACTTATTCCGTGACTATGTACATTTAGCCTCGATATAGTGTATTTAATATAGTAGCAACTCTTAAAGTCATTTGCGCGATCTCGTGTGAACTAGTCTTTTCTTTTCCTGTCTCGTTTGCGTTATATATTATTTTATTTTATTTTGTGTTACATTTCTGTTACGTTGTGTTACGTTACTTACACCAGCTGTGGCAGGCATTTCAAAGATAGTAATAAAAAACAGCGTCGGTAAGTTCCGTGTCAGTTAGATAATATCGACTGGCCCTGCACCCTGCTAGGATAAGGTAGGGTTGAAAGTTACGACTTGTAACTCGAGGTCTTTCGTAATCCTGTTCAGTGGCTCCTCCAATCGGAAATGAAGCTTATTCGATTGGGGACAGTTAGATATTGCAGGACTGTATGCTCGATCCTTGGCTGAACAACCGCGACATCATCGGTTCGATGGCTTCGACAGTGGCATCTGTAAGTTTCGAACGGACAGATAGTAATCGATGGAAAGTCGATAATAAACCTGCCGCTGAAACTCAATGCTATACCGTGCATGGAAGTGCATCGCGCAGATTCGTTGCTTCTTTTTACCTTCCTAGCTTTAAAAGCAGTTTACTTAAATCACGTCAGAGTGATAAGATAATTTTCCGATATTCTAAAAGATATTAATATCAAGGAAGTAGCATTAAAGGAGTGTTCAATCGATCGTCGATATTTAAGATTCTTAACACTGTCGTACATAAAAGACTCTCTAGACGATCGATCCTATGCTCTATCGGTACAATGTTGGGAACCTTTACTATCGACGATAATATCGACGATCATATCGATCGTCTAAACGCTCCTTTATCCATATACCGATCGGAATATTCCTTTGCAAGACACGAAGTTACGAATAAAACGTCAGTAGCTTCGTTTTCTTTCTTTCGTTGCGAGTTAGACAAATGTACCTACCTTTGATACTGACTGCTGCCTGTAGGGTTGCATATTATTGAGTATACGGCGTTTGTAAAGATTCATGCGAACCTTGGGTAAGAGATAGACGTTGCGTGGTGTATGCTTCCTTTTAGCTTGGTGAATGGTGTAGACTTTCCTTTAAGTTTGTAAAGTTTCATGCATGCGTTGTGCAGAAAATAGATGTCGCATGGTGTATGCTTTCTTTTAAGTTTGTAGACTTGTGTAAGCGCTACGTGGGAGATATTCTCTATCTACTCTCGTGGGCGCATATCCTCTGGCATTGTTGATTAATACCAGAGGTTTACTTTAGATCTGACCAATCGAGCACTTAGGGCGTTTCTGAGCCTCCGGTCCGCATGGTAAAGGTTTATAACTTGGGTGGTAGAAAATTCTGACTTTCTCAAAAGAGGCAGAGGTGCTGTCCGATTCAAAAACGGACGGCCACTCCAAGTCCCAAATGATGATATAATTACTATGATTCCTCCTTTTCCAACGTAACAGGCAAATAAAGTGAATCATGCAGAGCATTACCAATTTCTTGAAAATTATGCCAAATATTGATTTACTTTCTGTCCAAATTAAACAAACAAAATTAATCATATTAGATACAATAAATTTTAGAGGATAAATTTCCTTTAAAATCTTATTTTTAATTAAAATGACAGATTACTTTGTTATTTCGGTAGCTACTTAATAACATTTTTTTTTATTTTATTCTGTATAAAAATAAATCATTATCGCAACCTGTAGGTTATCAAATAACCTAAAATAATAAAGATTTTCAAACGGCCGCCATTTTGTGAAAAAATATTTTTTTGACTTTTCCAAAGTTCATGCTATAGCCGCATCTATACTAATAAAGAATCCGTTCGGCTTTATTGCTTCAGATGACCAGAAGGGTTGAAATTATGCACGCCAGGACACCCTTTTTTTTTGGACCCCCCACTTTGCCAGTTCATAACTTTGTGAATTTTGAGTCTTTTTCAGTTAATTTTTTATGTAATCTTAAAGTATCAATAAACAAATGATAAGAAAATGGATAGTAAAAATATTTTTTGTTTCGTTTGTACAGAGCTTCAAAAACCGCCCGAAATTCAAGCCTCTAGACTAGAATACTCCCTTAAGGAGAGCTATATAATTATTCCATACTTATATCAGGTACACGTCTCTCCCGTGACCGTGGCTACGTTCAGTGACCCGTTATGTCACTTCAAGTCCAAGCCCATTGTCATGAATCTCGGGAACCCATACCCGGATTAGAACATAAACAACTATTCCTCAGTTTTATTATTTAAGTGCAGCTATAATAATATATATAAGTGCAGTTCCACTTGGACTGCGGGTCAGTTCAAGTTCTACTTGTACGTTGAACCATACGTATTGACCGCGGATTCGTTGAAAATAAACTCCCTAGACAAGTTCCTAAGAACTAGTGACTTCGTAGTTGTCAAATCCTACGTGCGTTTTGTGATATATGTACTGTATGTACACTGTATATTTCTTACAAGCTTGATAGAGTATCTTTTGTTTACTTGTTTCTTAAACCTACCAAGGAATTTATAATGAGTGACGACGATCGAGACATCGACATTGAAAGTGATGTAAGTCCTTAAAACTGTCCTTTCAATGGACCTTGTTAAAGAGATCGTTTTTTAGGAAGGTGACGATTCCGATTCTAGGCAGACGCATACAAACAATGCGCAATATTATTCTCAAGTAAGTTCGTTATCCACTCTTATTTTCCTTCTTTTTTTCTAATTCTATTTATTTATTCAATATCTTTTATTTAATTAACGATCAATTAAAAACTTAACCTTAAAACTGTTCTTTCAATGGACTTTATTAAAGAGATCGTTTTTTAGGAAGGTGACGATTCCGATTCTAAACAGAGGCATTCAAACAATACGCAATATTATTCTCAAGTAAGTTCATTATCCACTTTTATTTTCCTCCTTTTTTTCTAATTCTATTTATTCCACATCTTTTATTTAATTAACGATATAAACAAGTTTTATTTTCAAAATATGAAATGTAAATATTGTTGAGGTTAAGTGGACGCTTTCCGTGCGATTTAAACAATTTATTCTTGTAAATAATTTCTCATTGAATATCTTATAAAATGAAGATACTCGACTAATATGTATATTGATCTGTGATACTCGACTAGTATGTATATTGATCTGTAGATTTAATTTTATAATTAAGATTAAGATATACACACACATGTTTATTTTTAATAATAAAGTTAAGATTGACATTGATTATAAGGCAAGAATTTAGATGTAAGATTTTTGTACAACTTATAAATAATGTAGTTTGATTTGATATGAAAAAACATTGTATATATTGATAGGCAGAAAAACGGGCACATCATAATGCGCTGGAACGGAAACGTCGGGATCACATTAAGGATAGTTTCTCCTACCTTAGAGACTGTGTACCTACGTTGCAAGGAGAAAAGGTTGCAAGTAGGACACAAATACTCAGGAAAGCTGTTGAGTATATACAGTTAATGCGGCGCAAGAATTCCACCCATGAACAGGATATTGATGACTTGACCCGCCAGAATAAACTCTTGCAATCTCAAAGTAAATATTAATCAGAAAATTAATTAGGTTTTATTCTAACACTTTTTGGAAATTTAAAATACAGTTTAACACTAGGTTTACGGGCGTTTCTTATATACCTATCTCTACGAGTACCCGTCAAATCAACGGATAAACGAAAATACGCATTTTCTTTAAAAAATCGATTTATTCAAATTAAGTTTGAATTGAATAATATTAGGCTTCACGTTTAAATAAGTTATTAATAAGTAAAAAGTCTTTTTTTTTAAATTATCACGGAAATGATAACAATAATATTAACAGTATAGGGTAATCATATTTATTGAGCACATTTTTTACAAATATACTGAATTTTTGTTCATGCATTTTCCGCATACAATCTTCTTGAAGTATATACAACAATTGTTGCTTTTATTTTCTTTCCAGTAGTCCACTTGGCAACTTTTTCGCACTTTTTTTTCACATTGTAAGTGACAGAAATGAAGCGTCTGACCTTTGGCAAAATATGAACTCCTTTCTGAATATTTTCGGTCCAGTGCACTCTTTACATAATATCCACGCGTTTATCGCTGCCAAATCTAAAATATTGAAAACAACTTGAAGGGGCCATTGGAAACTCCCTGTTTTCACACTATATTTACATGCCATCTGGTCAATGACGCCCACACCAAACTTTGTTTTATTATAAAAAGCAATGGTTTCTGGAACATGTTTATAATTGTGTTCATCTTTCCCCATATAGGGATACCATTCAAAATATATTTTATTTGGATGTCAACTGCTAACCAAAACTTAATGTCAAACTTATGAGGCTTATTCGGCATATATTGTGTAAACCTGCATTAGGCTTTTGTTGGAAATAATTGTTCATCTCTCTTTGTTCTCTAAGTTCTCTTAGCATATCCTTGAATATCATACTAATGGGCATCCTACCTCTAGATCCGCCTGCTTTCGGTTTTATCCACTGTATCCTGTCAATTGCAATTTCAATTTCACCCATTATATTTTGGGATGTGCTTGGAATGCTCATCCTTTCATCCTCGAAGTCAGAACTAGAAAAAATATGCATCCTTTTCTTGTTACGATACACTTCCAAGAAGTTCTCATCTTCACTATCCAAAGATCCTTTTATCTTTCCACTTTCAGTGTATTCAGAACTTTCTGTCAGCATCACTTTGGCCTAATTCATACTGATCTTCTTCGGAGGTATCCTTAGAACAATCTTCATTGATGTTGACAATTTTATTCAATATCTTATTATATCTCCTGGATTTACTCATGATTGTTAGAAAAGGGGGATTGGTCGAAAAAAGAAAATACTGTGCCCAAATTCAATTATCCTATTGTAAATACTTGCAATAAGCGGAGACAATACTGGGAAGTGTGTACAATAACTGAAACTTTTGCATACTGACTTTGAAAAACGGATTGTTTATGAAATCAGCTAGCCCGTTAATTTGGCAGATTTCGTAGAGATAGGTATACTACATATAGATTTTAAAAATTAGAAAGCCTAGGAAAAAATAATTGTGAGTATAAATTCTTTAGATCAAATGATTAATCAAAAAGATAAATTGGAAATTTCCAAACGTCCCACACATCAGTGATAGTACTATAGGATAGTACCGACGTTTCATTTGTTAATCCTTTCACTTTTTGCATTGGTTACAGTCAGGATCTGTAAGAGGAGCCGTCGACACTAACACCAACTGCAGTTGGAATCGAGAAATTTTATATGCATACATATGTACAGAAATACAATAAAATATTTGTACCTTTATACAATTGTAATATTTCTTTATTAAACTTGCATATTTCCGAAATATATTTTCTTTGTAATTATACAATTGATTTTTTACATATTTCTGTTGCGAACATAATAAAAGACACATTTGATATATTTTTCTAAATATATTCATTAATAAAGTAGATACGAAAGTAGTATTATTTAATGTGAAATTAATAAAATTATAATAATCCATAATTTTGCCAATAATATAAATAAATAAATAAAATAAAAAATATATTTGTTGCGAATTCTCAACTATGTGGCGATCAGTCAGGTTGCAACCCCGGATTTTCCTTCTCACCGTGGTTTTTATGGGATGGGAATCTATTCAAATCTTGTACTTGTGTACTCTCGTGGGCGCATATCCTCTGGCATTGTTGATTGATACCAGAGGTTTACTTTAGATCTGACCAATCGAGCACTTAGGACGTTTCTGAGCCACCGGTTCGCATGGTAAAGGTTTATAACTTGGGTGGTAGAAAATTCGGACTTCCCAAAAAAGGCAGAGGTGCTGTCCGATTCAGAAACGGACGGCCACTCCAAGTCCCAAACGATGATATAATTACTATGATTCCTCATTTTCCAACGTAACAGGCAAATAAAGTGAATCATGCAGAGCATTACCAATTTCTTGAAAACTATGCCAAATATTGATTTACTTTATGTCCAAATTAAACAAACAAAATTAATCATATTAGATACAATAAATTTTAGAGGATAAATTTCCTTTAAAATCTTATTTTTAATTAAAATGACAGATTACTTTGTTATTTCGGTAGCTACTTAATAACATTTTTTTTTATTTTATTCTGTATAAAAATAAAATATTATCGCAACCTGTAGGTTATCAAATAACCTAAAATAACAAAGATACAATAAACTTTAAATATTTTATTACTTCCTACTTGGGAGCTAAACATAATATTAATGAGATAATCAATCTTAAAATAACTTAACTTTTCTAAGTAAAGAATTAAAAATTCGTGAGCTGTTAATAATAATTTTATGGTTCTTGTACATATTTCACATGTTATTATACATTGTCAATACATTCAACTTATACAATTAAACTATACAACATTATAGTAAATATTGAATTTAGAACATAAGATATGTGAAAGATACAAAAAGTATAGTTTTATTTAAATTAAATTTTGATACTAGTGACATAATTTCCCCCTGTACCAGCCTATATATATGTCGGAGATGAAAGAACACCAGAGCCATTGGAATTTTGGATAATCCCGCAACATTGTAACCTAGAATCCACTATAGCTGTAATTGAACAACTGTAGTTATTCAACCCGATTGTAATTGTCCGAGAGTCGTAACAATGAGCTTGGGTTCGAGGCGACAGTCAGTCGCCGAACGTAGTCGCGGTCACGGGATGAACGCTTTGTCTAACAAAGGCATGGAATAATTCTATAGCTCTCCTTAAAAAGGAAATAGTTGTAACACTGGACGGTCTCTGCCCCGTGGCTCGCCACATGCAGACCCTATTCTTCGAGTAGGATGATTGCCAGATGTCGATGCGTCTCCGCAGTACATGTTCGGCTAGCTCGAGGGCCCGTTATAAATCTTAAGATTTAGTCAACTAAAGTCCTTCAAAC